CCCCCCCCCCCCCACACACACACACAAATGCACATTCGGTTGGTTGCAGGCACGTCGATTCTCTCCTTTGAGAGCGTCATGAAGCGGTTCAGCCGATGCGTTGCGGAATGGTGGACGAACAGAGAGAGAGAGAGAGAGGGAGGAAGGGACAGATAGGGATCCTCATGGAGCTTGTGTGTGTCTGTGAGTATCTGTCCGTGTCTTGTGTGTTGTAGGAAGGAGGACACATCAGGTGCTGAGCGGCGAAACATCCTCCTGGTCGATGTCCTCAGTGTCAAAGTAAACACCTACGCACACACACACCCAGAGAGAGAAGGGGGCGAAGGGGGGTGCAGCCTCGTTCATTAGACTGTTTCTCTCTCTCTCTACACACAGGAGTGGCCTAGGAAAGTCCTGCTAGATCTCTTTGCCGACGACAAACATGGCGTGAGTGAGTTTGTCCCCATCCTGACTGACCTGACACACAATGGCCATGGCCATGGACAGCAAATGTCCCTCTCTCTGCACACTGCAGGCGATTGACGTGGACATTCTCTGCACCCACCCGATGTTCGGGCCTGAAAGCGGTCGATACGGCTGGCAGGTACGGTACACACCAGCCCACACAGACACACACGGTGGGCCATCCATCCCTCTCTCTCTCTCCCCCTCTCTCTCTCTCTCTGTGTGTGTGTGTGTGTGTCTGTAGGGCCTCCCCTTTGTGTATGAGGTGGTCAGGTACACCCGCGCGCAAGCACGTGCATCTCTCTCTCTCTCCCTCTCCCTCCCTCCCTCCCTCCCTCCGTGTGTGTAGGTGCCGACAACTCGCGAAGTGCCAGGCATTCCTCAACCTGTTCGAAGCAGAAGGATGCAGGCAAGCCACGATTAAATGACCACAAAACACGGAACTCGGCAAAGATGCAGCCGTCTGTGTGTGTGTGTGTGTTGGTCAGGATGATAGAGCTCTCGTGTGGTCTGCACGACAAGTACGCGGCGTCCACCCAGTTCATCACCCACCTCACCGGACGAGTGCTGGGCAAACAGGTGCAGCACAACAACTGGACACACACACACACAGGAATTCGGCACAGAGTGCTCCCCTCTCTCTCTCTGTGTGAGTGTGTGTGTGTGTGTCCAGAGGGTTGAGTCGACTCCCATCGACACGAAGGGCTTCCAGAGCCTGCTGCAGCTCGTTGACAACACCGTGAAGGACAGGTGCGTATATCGACCGAACCGACACACGCACATGTGGCTGATGACCAGGCCATATGCACCTTCCTTGTGTCCATCTACGAATGCTGGCTGCAGTTTCGACCTCTTCTGCGGCCTCTACCGGTTCAATGCCAACTCGACCGCACAAGTGAACCCACACACCCAGAAAGAGGGAGGGAGGGAGGGAGAGGATAATGCACATGCAGCACCGTGTGTGTGTGTGCGCATGGCCGCAGCTTGAGAGTTTCACCGAGAGTTTGGCCGAGATCAAGCTTGACCTGAGGAGGGCCACGGCCGCTGGTGCTGGTGCTGATGCGGCGGCGGCGTGTCTGTCGTCGCTCGCAGAGGGCATCAAGGAGAGCAAAACCGTCCAAGTATAGAAACGAACCTAACCAACCGACCACACACAGACAAACACCAATGTGATCCAAAATCTATCAGGTCCACGCCCTGACCAAGCAGAAGGAGGCTGAGGGCAAACAGGTGGTGGATGACACACACACACACACACACACACACATCGACACGCGCCAATTGTGCAGGTGATATCCCTGTGTGTGGGGGAGCCCGATTTCGACCCACCAGCAGAGGTGTTGCAAGCCACGGCGCGCGCAGCCACAGAGACCACCCCACCACTCACGAGATACACAGCTGTGGCGGGCACCCTAGAGCTGCGCAAGGCCATCGCAGGCTACCTCACGTACGCACCTGACACACACACACACACACACACAGACAGACATGCGCCTGTGTAGCTGGGTGCATTTGTGTCGACAGCACCGAGAAGAAGACGCCGTATGGCCCCGAGCACATCGTGGTTGCCAACGGGGCCAAACAGGCGGTGTATCAGAGCGTGCTCGCCATGTGTCAGGAGGCCGACGAGTGAGGAATCCTCCACACCCAGCTGCATACCATCTCTCTCTCTCTCTCTCTGTGTGTGTGTGTGTGCGTAATAGGGTGGTGATCCCAACGCCTGCATGGGTCTCCTACGTGCAGATCGTGCGCATGGTAGCACAGCCACACACCCAGAGAGAGGGATAGAGAGCACGGCAGCCCCTCTGTGTGTGGTGGACAATAGGCCCGTGCCCGGCCGGTGTTGGTGCCGTGTGCAGCTGAGGACGGCTATGTCCTGTCTGCCGAGAGCCTCGCTGTAAGTGAGACGAGATGGATCCATCCATCCATCCAACGATGCGTGTGTGTGTATGTGTGTGTTTGGTTTGCAGGCGGTGTTGACCCCCAAGACCAAGATGATCATGCTCTGCAACCCTTCGAACCCGACTGTATGTTTGTGTGCGCCACAGGTGTGTGTGTGACACACACGTGTGTGTGTGTGTGTGTCTGTGTAGGGGGCGGTGATGCCTGAGGCCACACTGCGCGGGATTTCAGCCCTGCTGATGCTCCCACAACACCAGCACATTTATGTGAGTGGCGCAAGGAGGCCTCTGCGTTCATTTCATTGCCTCTTTTTGCTGTGTGTGTGTGTGTGTGTGTGTTCAGGTGCTGTCGGACGAGATCTACGAGCGGCTCACATACGACACACCACACGTGGCATTCGCGAGCATCGAAAATATGGTTAGCATCACCGTCAACCCTCCCACACAGAGAGAGAACCAGGCTTCATGTCTGTGTGCATCCCTGCTGCAGTGGGACCGCACGCTGACGGTCAACGGCTTCAGCAAGGCCTTCGCCATGACCGGCTACAGGCTGGGATACCTCGCAGCGCCCTCACACAGTAATCCCATTTCCACCAGCCACGTCCACAGGGATGATAGAGAGAGATCGGGAGAGAGGGGCAGGAAGGGGTATCTGTCTGTCTGTCTGTCTGTATCTGAGCAGTTGCCAAGTCGGCTGCCAAGCTGCAAGGCCAGATCACCAGCTGTGCGTCGTCCATCTCACAAGTAGCCATACCCCTTCCCAACCAAGCCTAACACACACACACACCCGAATGTGCATTTCACTGGCTGCAGGCGGCCGGCTTGGCGGCTCTCACGCAAGTGCCGCCCTCGTGGATGCAGGCGACTGTCCAGGCGATGAGGGAGAAGCGCGACATCTGCATGCAAGCCTTGGCTGATGTGCCGGGGGTCACCTGCACCGTCACGTACGTCTGCATCAACACAGGCGCAGACACATGATACTCTCCCTCTCCCCCCTCCCCCCGCTCCTTCCCTCTGTCTGTCTGTCTGTGTAAAGGCCTGAGGGCGCGTTCTACGTGATGCCGTCTGTGGAGTCCCATTTCGGCAAGCGGACGCCCAGTGGACTGCAGATCGACTCTAGGCAACGCAACCAAACCAAACCAGCACACACACACACATACACACCACACCAGATGCACACACACCTTCTCGCTCGCACTCTGTGTGTTTCGGTGTGTGTGCAGTGAGTCCTTTTGCACGGCGTTTCTGGAGGAGTGTGATGTCGCGCTTGTGCCCGGTATGAACACCACACATGTGCCTGTGGCTGTGAGGGGTGGGGGAGGAATGAAACCATTTGCCATCTCTGTCTCCTGTCCGTGTGTGTGTGTGTGTGTGTGGCGTGTAGGTGATGACTTCGAGGCCCCCGGGACGATCCGCATATCGTACGCGGCGTCCAGACAGACCATACGGGAGGCCATAAGCAGGCTCAAGACCTTTGTCAACGGCCTCACGTGACAACCGACCATGGCTGGAGTGTGTCTCGTGTGTGTTCGTGGCGCATCGACGGTAGGCTATAGTGTTGTGTGTAGTTGTATGTAATGTGTTGCACGGCCTCATTGCGGGCAGCTGTGGACGTGCCTTCCATTCACCGATCAATGCAGCTTTATTTGCCACCGCCAGACAGACACACAAGGTCAATGATTTGCGTTCCACTCACTGTTCACCACGCAGCACGCATCAACACATAATGGCTGTCGTGCCATCCGCCCTTGTCTCACGTTGTCTTGCTACCATCCTTGGACAGTCAGCACCACTCTCTACAGTGTGGGGAAGGCTGCAAAGGCCTCACTGGCACATTCGGCGAGCGACTCCGCGGCGCCGACACTAATGTGCACGTCGAGTGACGAGACACGGCCACTCACTTCACTGCCTCTCTCTCCCCTGCCTCGCACAGCCCCCACTTCAGATCATATCCCCATCTGGCTGTCACGAATTGCCGACAGCCGGGCATGGTGATGTCCGTCACGGAAAATGGTACATGCGGTCCTCTCCTACTCTGCCTACTCGCTGGCTCTACACGCCCAAACACTACGGCGTCCTGGCATTCGCGTGCAGGCACAAGAATAGGCAGAAGGCCTCTTATCAAACCCCTCCCCCCTCCCCCAACCAGCACAACCATCTCCCAAACCCTCCTGGCTGCATCCTTTCTACCAACCCTCCCCTCCTCCCTCTCGACCCCCCTCCCATCCCACCTCACAAGCAGGCAACTTAGAGCCGCTGAGGGCCATCTCCACATACGCCCACCGAGCAACTGCCGCCGCGCCGGCCAACCCTGCGCCAACTCAGCCGAGTTGCTCCACGCAGACATGCGCACTGATACCTCAGAGGGCGGCAGGCCGTCTGATGGGATGGACGACCAGCAAAGCAATTCTCACTCTTCCCGCAGACACAACGGCTCGGCGGAGAGTAAACCACATGCAGACGGCACCAAGGCCAGCATTCGTCTTCACGAGAGCTCGATAAACGACGAATTGCCCGTGTCGACGGAGACACCGGCATGGCGATGCGATTCTCCTTCTCGTCAGTGCCAACACGGTGCCGCCGAGGCCACACCCGACCGGCCGCCAGGGCCGTCATTCCTTAGCGCCTCCTCGCGAGAACATGGTCGTCACCGACGAGCTGCCTGGCCGGCTGCCGATCGATTGCAAGCCGCCCTCGATGCATCGACGGCCGTCACGGACAGGTCGAGGTCGGTGCACCGGCCCACCCCACGGCTCAATATCTGCACGCGGAACATGATAACACGGATACCCTCACAACGCGAAGACCCATCGGCGGCCGACTCTCCCTGCGCACCTGACAGTTCTAGCAGACCTCATCCGAGGCTCTCCGATGACTATAAAATGGAAGTCGCTGTCGATAGATGGATGGCTGACATCCCTACTGAATGAACGGGCAATCAACGCACAAACTGGGGTTGACCCGGAGGGCTTCCTCCCAGCGGCCACGACTTGCACACCCCGCAACCTTGGCGATACACACCTACAGCCACGACACCTAAGATACACAATGACACCTAAGTGTCCAATGCACCTTGCCCTCGCCCGTGTCGCTTTTATCAGCCTAGCCTACCGCATCGCTGCTCGATGCAATCCATCATGACGGCTGCCGACCCACAAGGGCGCATGAATGGGAAGCCCCAAATGGCCGGTGATGCGCCAATCGTGACAACCAGCCCTCGCCCCGCCCCGATGCGGCGCTGCGGCGCTTCGGATCCGCTGACGGAGAGGTGGAGGGGGGCGGTGCAGCAGGCCGTCAATCGGAAGATCCACAGACCTCACCCCACCCCGATGGCCGACAACATCTGCACGACGTACAAAATGGCGATGCACCCGCAATGCGAAGACGCGCCGGCGGCCGAGTCTGCGCACCTGCGAGTGCGCCCCCCAGCGAACCGCTGGCAGACCTCATCCACGGCCTTGCGACTAGGGACCATAAGTGGGGGCCGCTGCCGAAGGACGGCTGCATGCTTGGATGAATGAATGAGCGGACGGACAGACCGATCGGCGGACTCATGGGGGCTGGATGGAGTGAGCTGTGTGTGCACCGAATGCAGCACCCCAAATTGCAACATCCGACGAACTTGGGGGCTGGTCCGGGGGCTGAGAACGCCGCGACTGACGCACCCGAGGCACACCCTTGGACGGCAACACGCCCTTGGAATGACACCCAGCATATACAAAGACACGGAAGCGTCAAATGCACCCTTCCGTCGGGCAGCCCATTACCGCATAGGGTTTCCCTTCGCCGAGGCGCCTCATTCATCGGCCGCCGACTAAGCAAACCTGAAGTTACGACGCACGACAGACATACACAGACGAACAGATGATGAAGGAATGCACCCCCCGCGATGCTGGGCTCGTGCGTGCAGCGTGCAGTGCCTGCGGCCTACCTCACCGCCATGTGACCGCCACATCATCTGGAGAGCATGACTGAGGGGGCCACGAGCCCCTTGGAGTGGACGGCAACACACCTGCAGCCATGGCACCCAGCCTCAATGACACGGAAGGCTCAAAGGCACCCTCCAGTTGCCCGTGGCGGTATACCTCATGCAGGGCTTCCCTCCGCCGAGGCGCCTCATCGGCCGCCGACGAAGCAAAGCTAAAGTTATGATACACACACGAACAGATGAAATGTATCCCCGCAATGCTACGTGTGTGCGTGCAGCCAACTGGCAGCCTACCTCAATGCTGCACATAATCACGGCTGTCGGAGTAGCATCTGCAACATGAAATGGCCACCTCCCCGATGGCCGATGACCACCCCCATCGTCCGGGAGGGTGCCCCGAGCCCCTTGGACGGCAACACACCTACAGTCATCGCACTCAATGACACGGAAGGCTCAAATGCACCCTCTAGTTGCCCGTGGCCGTCTACCGGTCATTCACCGGGCGCCTCCGCCGCCGACGAAGTAAACCTGAAGTTGTGACGCACCACCCCCACACACATACGAACAGATGATGAACAAATGCACCCCCCGCGATGCTGTGCGTGTGCCTGCAGCCTCGCGAGGCCTCCGTCCCGGACTGCCGTCGACAGCAAGGGAAAGCACCTGCACCAAACAGCACCAACGACAGACAGACAGCACCAGCCATCCAATCGATGGCATGGAGGTGAGATGAGCAGCCAGCCAGCCAGTGGCAGTGCCTGTCACTTACCCTCCCCAGTAGCATGCCGCCAGTATGTTGAGACCTCACGGGAGACTCACGGGAGCACATCATCACGGCTGTCGGCGCATCATCTGCAGATCTGCAGAACATCAATGCCCACCTCGTCGATGGCAGATGACCACCACCATCGTCACAACCACCCTCCGCAGCACCGTGCAGCGGTGTTTTCAGGGTTTCGGGTTAGAGATCACAGCAGCTGAGCTTGCAGCGCCTTTCCGAAGCGCGGCCTTTCGGCGATGGCGAGAAGGGCGTCGACCACATCAACACCGATCCTCGGCGCATCTTACAAGTGGCCTGCCGCTGTGGTTGCAGACTGCTCGCCGCTGTCCTCCACCACTCCGCCGCCTCTATCTGCCACCAGCCGAGCAGCAGTAGACCACACCACATCGCTGCGGCCTGGCGACCACCTGACGAAGACAAAGAGAGGGAGAGGACCGCTGCGGCGGCGGATGGCGGTGTTTCTCGCTGCCTGGCGGCTGGCTGGCGTGTCCGCGGCTGCCCGCACCCTCCAGACGGCAGATCCAGTGTTTCTCAGCACTTTTAATTCCTTCGCTGTCTCGGCGAGAAAATCCCACGGCTTAGCTCGCAGATTATTTCAGCACAGAGAGGGCAGACCAGACACAGCAGAGGACTGAGAAAGTGTGTGGTTGGCCTCTGTGTGTGCAGGAACGGACCTGTCGAAGGAAAACTCGGTTCCTTCAGCGATTTCGGCTGGAGGGCTCTGGCCGTCTGTGGAGCATTGCAGAGGTCACGAGGACCGCTGAATGGCCTCACTCAGGTACAGAGGAGCCACGAACCATCACAGTGAACATCAATTGAATCGTCTGCGGGCTTGGTTTCAGGCGATCTCGTGGCCCCCATTTGGTGCGAGCCGGAGACCCCCACATTGGTTCGGTTCTCGGCATTCTACCGGAAGAATGTCTGCCCGACGCGCACCCATGGCACATCCTCCCCCTCCCCCACCGCCCGCACGGCATCATCCACCCCCTCTCCACCCGTCGGCACCGTGGCGCCCCCCTCTTTCGTCTATGCGGCCCTCCATCCCCCTCAGCAACACTGGGGAGGGCTCAGCGGGCGGCCGGGGCACTCAAGGAGCAGTGGGAGCTATGAACGACCTTAACCGCTCCCATGGCGTGGCTGAGGCGCTTCGGTCCTTCCCCAGATATCAGCCGGGGCTCACCGCCAGCATGACGGCCAGCCGAGCCGACTATCGAGGGTCATCCCAGGCTCTACCGCCTCGCCATGCGGTGAGACATACGACGGACGGCACACAGGCGGCAATCAGCTCTCTCATAAGTGTGTCATCCGTCCGTGTTGTGTGTCTTCTCTGCACCACCAGGATGAGTTCGCTGCAGCTGGGCCGAGATTCGTGACGCGCCAGAGTCGCGAGGCGTCGTCACGTCAGAGCAGCTCCGGTGAGTCCGAGCGGCCATCGAGTTCCCGAGAGGCGCGGCAGCAGACGTCTGACGGTGTGGGGTCTAAGGTGCGTGAGGGGCATCAGAAGGACAAGTTCATGGAGTCGCGATTCTTCAAGAGTAAGCCGCGGCACACATGACAGAGGAGGGAGGGGAGGATGTGTGTGCCTTTGGTTGGTTGATTGGTGCAGTTGGGGGACATCCGCCGGCTGAGTATGGGCTGTGCAATCTGGGAAACACGTGCTATCAGTAAGCAAACCACAGCCCCTGCGTCATCCACAAGGCGAACACCAACACACACAAATGGCTGTGCTGTTCCATCCTCCCTCCTTGTTTTGTTGTTGTGTGCAGGAATGCGGGTATGCAGCCGTTGCTTCGGACTCCATGGTTCTGGGACTGGTCAGCTGGCCAAACGGCCCCCCACCCACACAACGGACCAACCAAACAGCACATCTCTCTCTCTCTCTCTCTGTGTGTGTGTGTCTGTTCGGTGTGCTGTGCAGGTTCGCGGTGGCGTTTGATCAGACGTTCATATGTCCTCGCAGCCCATACAGAGGACACGTAGCTTCGGTGATTCAGTGAGTGAGTACCTCCACCACGCACAGACACACCAAACCACAGACACTTCTGATGTGGTGTGTGTGTGTGTGTGTGCCAATCAATGACTGCAGGTGTTTGCCGACCTCATGAGAGAGTTTGCGTCGAACGGCCCGTCGCTGCACCAGCAGGGCGTCGTCGACCCGACCAACTTCCGCCGCGTCTTTGCAAGGAACAAGAAGGAGTTCAGAGGTACACAACACGCCTCACCCAATGCGCACCGGTGGTTGGCATCATCACACCAAACAAGACTTGTGTGTGCTGTGTGGGTGTCATTCTGTGGGCAGGTCGCCGTCAGCATGATTCGGCAGAGTTTCTCGTCAAGCTGCTCGAGTGTCTTCACGAAGTAAGGCACCACCAGATCGCCCCTAACACACGCATCCACCACTGACCTGTGTGTGGGTGTTGGGTGCATGGCACGTGTGCAGGACACCAACAGGATCCAGGAGAAGCCGACCTTCCACCACATGGACGACCTACCGGGGGAGACGGCCACACAGGCCAGGTGGGTGCGTGGGTCTGTGCGGGGCTGAGCCACACACGTGAATTGATGGACACTTATCCTTCTCCTTCCCTCTCTCTCTCTCTCTCTGTGTGTGTGTGTCATCAGCGACCGTTGGTTGGCGGACGAGCAGCGGCGGAGCAGCTCCATCGTCTCGGACGTGTTTGCTGGACAGCTCATGACAGAGATCACATGCCCAAAATGCGGCCACAGTGAGCACACAGCACACACCCACCACACCACACCACACCCACCACACCCATCAAAGACGTCCCTCAATGCACTGTTGTGTGTCATGATGTGTCTGTCTGTGTGCAGTTCCGCAACTTCGAGAGCAATAGAACTCTACCCCTGACCATCCCTGACGAGACAGCAGAGGTCGACCTCGACGAGTGCCTCAAGACGTTCTGCAAGATCGAGGTGAGTCCGGTCCGCCCCATGCAACACACCGACTGCCACACACGCCCCCTCTCTCACTCTCTCTGTGTGTGGCATGCCATTGATCCATTGATCAGGTCTTGAAGGGCGAAGACGTGTGGTTCTGTCCCAAGTGCTAGGAATACGTCGAGGCCAGGTGGGCGGGGTGGGGGATGTCTCTGTGCTTGTGTCATGTTGATCTGTCTGTCCGTCTGTGTGGGTGTGCCAGCAAGGAGGTGACCATCATCAGGCCCCCGCCGGTGCTGGTCGTTGTGCTCGGCCGGTTCCGCAAGGACAAGTTCGGCGGGACGGAGGGCATCTTCAACGCCAAACGCATCAACACCCCCGTCAGCTTCAAGACCAGCAACCTGTGTCTCGCTGACGTCGATGGCCTCTGCCAGCACTCTGGTGAGAGGGAGATGTGGGAGAGAGGCGGGGAGGGTGCGCTCATGCCTCTATGTGTCTCTCTCTCTCTGTGTGAGTGTTTGTTGCGTGTTCAGAGGATCCCTCCATCGGCCGCCAGTACGACCTGTACGGCGTCACCCACCACGACGGCATCCTGCAGGGCGGCCACTACTACTCGTGAGCACACGACAGACACACAGACAGACACACAAACAAACAGACAGACAGACAGACAGGGCGTGACTGGAGAATGGATATGTGGGTCTGTGTGTTGTGTGTGCAGCTATGTCAAGCTGGTGGTCAATGGGGTGGTGACGTGGGTGCGGTTCGACGACAAGGCGACTGAGTACTTCATGCCTGAGGAGCAGATCCAGGGTACGTATCTGGAGCGGGGAGCAGGGGAGGGGACGTCGCACAACAAGAGAGACTGGCCCATGTGTGTGTGTGTGTGTGTGTCAGGTCCGGGGGCCTACATCCTTTGGTATGCGGCCCGGGACATGTCCAAGACGTTCCAGGAGAAGCGCTCCGTCCCCATCGCCAAGCGTACGTACGACGATAGACGAGCACACACCCGTAGCACACAGCACACACACACTATTCGGCTCTGTTGTGCAGTGCCCGACCCATCGGCCGAGGACGAGGAGGCGGACGACGTCGACAGCGATGAGGAGGACTCACCTGCGGCCGTCGACTTGGAGAACTTCCCACCACTGGCACCGACCAGCCGGCCTCCCAAGCGCAGCACTGGTCCCCAGCTCCCGCCCCGCCCGTCCCCACCACACACACACCGTCCGCCGCCAGCGCCGCCAGCGAAGCCACAGACCCCCCCGACCACCAACCGGAGGAAGCCCGCCCCTCCCGCATCCGCCAAGCGTCCCGACGTGCCACCGACTCAGAAGAAGGAGCGTGAAGGTACGCGCCGATGATGTCGACCATCCACCCACACAGAGACACGCTCACACGCATTCATTCATGTGTGTCTGCTTGGTGTGTGCTGTGTGCTGTGTGCAGTGCCGCTGCCCCGTTCCATCGACAACCCGGTGGCGCCGTCGAGCCCCTCGAGTGTGGTCGACAAGGACACCGAGGACATCACCTCCCCGCTGGACGACAGCACCGACATCGCCGCACCGGCGGCTGCTGGCGCTTCCTCCCACCTCCCTGCGCCCACCGTCCGGCCCTCGAAGCCGTCCACTGTGCCCCCGCCCGCCCCCGCTGCTCCCACCCCTCCGGCCGCTGCCCTCTCGCCACCGCCAGTGCACGGCAAGGCCCCCAGTGCCATCACCACCACCACCGAGAAAGAGGAGACGGCAGAGAGGGCGCCAGGGAAGAAGAAGGGCAAGAACAGAGGGAAGGACACGGACACGGCCGCCCAGCTCCGACGGATTCGGGCGGTCAGCACACTCGCACCACACGAAGCACAAGCGGTCAGAACGCTGCGTGGATAATGAGTGTGTGTTGGTCCGACAGGCCCTAGCGATGATGGAGAAGGGCGCTGAGGACAAGAACAAGACTCGCGCCCCGGCCAAGAAGGTCAGCAGACAGCCCCGCAGCCCCTCCAACGCCCCCTCCCATTTGTGTGTGTGTGGTGGCTACCAGGCCGCGGGGGGCCACCGCATGCTCACCAAGAAGGAGCAGGAGGAGCGGAGCCGCATTCAGGAGAAACAGCGGTACCTGTTCACACACAATGTGGGGGCCAAATGCGCACACACATATACACCATGTCTGTCTGTCTGTCTGTGTGCGTGGTCTATACGAACGTGTCTGCAGTGAGGAGCAGGAGAGGAAGAAGAGGGAGGAGGAGCAGGACCAGAAGCGCCGAGAGGAGGAGGAGGAACAGAAGCGCCGTGAGGAGGAGGAGAGGAAGGAGGAGGAGCGGAAGCGACTCGAGGAGCAGGTACGCACCCTCCCCCACCCACCCAACCAACTCGACATACCTACGACATGTGTTGTGTGTGCGCGTGTGTGGTGTGGACCAGGAGACGACACGTGCTTCAGTCGAGCGGATGTCCAAGCTGGCGGGCCTCGTCAGCCGGTGCCTCGCCGACGAGCTCACTGCCGCCAAGCTCGTCAGCGAGACGCACCAGCTCCTACAAGAGGTAGACCAACACACACACACGCACTACTCGTTCAGTTCACCTGAGCAACCAACTCGTCTGTCTGTCTGTCTGTGTGTGTTCCGTGTGTCAGTCTGATTGGCACCAGGTGTTGCCGTCGGCCACCATCGCCGAGGAGCTGCTCAAAGCCATCGATGGTGCGCATCTCTGACTGACACCGACATACGGCGATTGGTTGATGTGATGTGTGGTGGGGTGCACTGCAGCTGGTGTGGCTGATGAGAGTTTGGAGAGCCTCGAGGCGGTCAGTGCCCTCGTCGCCAAAATCAAGCCCACACTCGAGAACATCTTCCAGGTCAATCAGTCAGTCAGTCAGGGAGGGAGGGAGGGACAGACACAGATGGCATGGATGTGCACGCGCAACCTTGTGTTCATTCAGACGTCTTGCATCCACCGGCACAAGCTACGGTTCCTGTTTGCCATTCAGAAGGGCACACTCGGTAACAAACTGACGTGACCAGGAGCCATGCAGTGCACGTCCGTCCATCTCTCCGCTATGTGTGTGTGTCTCTGTCCATTGTGTGTGTCCATTGTGTGTGACATAATAGAGTTGCGTCACGTCCGCATATCGCCCTTGTGGGCTTTGGTCGAGGCCGTCTTCGACGCCCTCTACACGCAGGACATCATCGAGGAACAGTACTTCACCTGGGTAGGTAGCCCAACACACATGACTGACTGACACACACGGAGAGGATGCACTGGCTGACTGCTTTCACGGGCCCCTCTGTGTGTCCAGTGGCGGGAGGACGAGCAGGACAAGACACCAGGCAAACAAGAGACACTCTCCCAGGTTCACACACACGCACAAAC